TGTGTCCTGTAATAAGGCCAACTCAAGTTTTGAGAATAAATACTTAGCAATAAAAAAAACACAACTGATTTATCTATTCGTTTATTTTTGTCTGTGTGTGGGTGTGGATATTGTCTGTCATAGGACAAGTTCTTTACTGTAGATTTGTCTACTAGGTAAACATCCTTCTTGATGAGCTAAGAATCCAAGATGGAATTCTGTAATAAAGTAGGCCTCAGTAGTACTTAGATCCTGCAACTAATTATATGTTTGTGATGAGGACATCGTTAGGTGGTCCAGCGTGAAGTACTTGCTTTTATTCTAACCTGTTAAAAATGTGTTTTGTTTCTGCTGCAGATGGTTGAGCCAATGTTGAAGGCAGCTATGTATCCTTTGCTTACTGGTTACATATAGTAACTTTCTTGTAACTTTTATAAGATCAGAAGTAAAATTTGAAATTTGATGGTTTCGGTGTGGTTAATATGGCTGCCGGATTGACTATCATGAATTACCGTATTTCTAAGGCATCTGAGTCTTACCTTTAACAGTAGTTTCTGAACTCTTATGATATACCTGGAACTGGAAGTCTTAGTAAAAAAATGTGTATAACAGAATCTCATGGTTTTACAAGTAAGCTGTAAGTAATTTTACATGGTATTAGATTTGTGATGTATCTTTTTATATTGACAAAAGATATATTTGTTTCTTATTGAAGCATGATTATTTTTACTCCTGCCAGGGTGTTTATATGCTACTTTTCATCTGTAGAGAAAATTCAGAAACAGGTCTTTGCCATTCTGTATACAGTAGTTTAGTGCTTGGTTCACCAAGCATAAATTGAAATATGCATCCCGTGAACTTGTTACCCTTGACTATTCTACAGCGAGATATCTACACTGCTCGCTCGATCATTTTTCATGGGATTTTCTCTGACTATTTTAGCGCTGCTTGCACGACTTCGAGTTTTAGTTCAACAAGTAAATTCAAGTCTTTTTTTCCCCAATACATTTAAAATTGAAATGTACAGATTATTTATTAAATGTGGGTAGTTTATGGAAAATGTGCTCATGTCCTTATCATTTGAGATGGTTCAAGTGCTGAACCCGTTCATAAATTCGCATAAACCTGGAGAGCACCGTACATGGAACTGAGTTTATCCAACAAAACAGTAATTTCCTTGTATTCAACATGGAATACAAGGCAAGCTAGCCAACTGGGTAGTTTGTGTGGATTTATCATGAGTAAAAACAAAAAGAAATGTAGATGCTGCAGCAGCATTTGGCTAGTGATATAATGAGAAACCTAGGTGACTAGGTCTTGGTATTAAACATGGAGTTCAGCTATTGAGCGAGTTAATCATGTTTAGGATGTGAAACTTGTCCAAGTGGCTAGCCCTCAGG